ATATCATAGTTTAACTTTGATAAAAATGATTTTTTGATAAAAATGATTATTCTAAATCTTATGTTTCTATAAAAATATACTGTGCTTTAAAAATATGGATGATAGTATCAGCCACTCTTTCAGTCACTTCATAAGCAACAGCTTGTTTAGAAATAAATTATGCAGTTAATGTCATAAAATATTTTCTTAAAATTCAAATAAACATCAAATGAAAGTTCTCAATTTTAGACAATTCGATTTAAACGAAGTTAAAGTAAAGTAGCAGACAATAAAACGTGAAGATAAAAATTTACTCTTACAAATATTTTTTTTTAAAAAAGGAAAAAAGAGAGAAATTAAAAAAAATAGTTAAAAATTTGAATAATATCATCTATAATTAAAAAAAATAGCTTTTCATATAGTAGTAATAAATATTTATTACATATCATTGAGGGGAAAAATTTCATATAATTAATTCTCCGTAAAATTTTACTTGAAATTTAAGGTTAAAAATAACCACATTTGGCGTTATTATCGCTCCCCCCCAAAAAAAGATGCCAAATTTCAAAACACGAAAATATGTAAAGTCGTGTATATCTTAGAAAATTCTGAATAAAAAAGTCTAATTTTTTTCAGGTATACACCTACTTTAAGATGATGGTAAAAATTTTTTATAGTCATAATCAAAAATTTTTCGAAAAATTTATAAAAATTATTTAAAAATAGAAATTTAAAAAATTCACAAAAAAAATGGGTTTAAATTTTATAGAATGAACTAATTTCGAAATGTGAAAGGAAAAATCAAAAAGTTTAATAAAAAAAGAGATATTAATAATTTTTTTCAGGTTAAAATAGCTAATATTTAACCTAGTTCTTTGAAGAATGATGGAAAAAAAAATTTTTTTTATAATGAATAATTTGAAATTTTAAAAAATATTATAAGAATTTAAATAAAATAATTCACAAAAAACATTAAAAGTTTAGCAATTGAACTAAATTTTGAAAAAAAAAAAATTTTTTTAAAAAAATATCTAAATCCAATTTTGATAAAATAAATATGAAAAAATTTATTATTTTGAAAAATTTTAGAGCTAATATTTTTTTAGAATTTAAAAACTTTAATTAATTAATTTGATTAGATTATTTCAGAAAAGTCCGATTTGTGTCAAAATACCTATGTTAGAATAGTGCTATATATAAATAATTATATTCTAAGTCGCGCTTTCAAGGCATGAAAAACACAGTTTGAATTTTGTCAATCGGCCCAGCAGAACGGGAGATATAGCACTGTCCCATTTTTTTTTTTATTTTTAGCAGTGCACCTTTGAAGAATAATTGTTTCTCTTTTTATAAAACCAATCTCTTTTTCAATGAATTTCCTCTTCATTTTAGAATTTCCAGATTTAATTAAAGAATTCTGTTATTCCAAAGAGCTGCTTCTACTTAAAATGTATAGAAGAAACTGCTAATCTTATTTCTTTAATAATATGAGTATTGAAAATAAACATGAAACGATATATAAGGTCAGGACTGGTGTTAGAGCCAATGTGGCAGATTTTTTAGAATTTAGTGAAGCATCTAGGCAACAAAATTTAGGACAAGCACTGAGGTAGGTATGGTACAATGCAATATATGATGAATCTCTTAATTAACTGGTGGTTTTCCATTTTACTTTCTTCGATTAGTTTGATGCTTGTGTCTAGTGGAAGAAAATAAAGGGAAGATAAATATATTAAAGATTTCTGTGATCAAAAGTTATTCAAATAGTTTCTTTTCACTATTCTTTCAATAATTCTCAAAAAGATAAGTAATTAATCACAAATTTCCTATAAAACACATCTATTATGTGTTAATAACCATGAAGACACTTCGTTTTTCAGTTAGAAGTCATTAATAAATGTGTGTCTTTATATTCAAATATTAGCTCTCTTACTAGCATTCAGATAGGTTATAAGTTAATGTCATCATTTGCTCAAAAGTTTTTAATCAGTCTTTTAAATCTAAATATATAGAAGCATTGGGGGTACTGTCTTATACTTCCATATTAGAGTTCTTTCCATTGAATTCCTGACAATTTTGAGCTCAAATTATTTCAAGTTCATGCACCTGGTTTTCTTTCTTTAAACAGTCATTGATTATTCTATCTAAAACTTTACAAGTTCATAATCTTTACAGTTAACTTTGCAAGTCTGTAATTACATGTTTGGGGTAATACTTATTCCGAATTCTACATATAGGATAAAAAGATCTGCTTTCTAGACTTTGTCAAAAATGGCATAATGAATTTCAAAATTGTATCATTCAGTATTCTTACAGAAGCATAATAAAATACTGCAAAGCTTTCTCTTACTTTTACTATTGAACAAGCAAGAGACTTTAATAATTGTATTCTTCACCAATCACAGCATCCATGGTTATGGTGCACAAATGTTTTGGTACATTATAAATCTTGTCTTCAAAATAATAATATATAAATCTTGCCTTTAGACCTTCCGACGAGCAAGGTCTAAAATCCGAAAGAAAAACTATAATCCGAAAGAAAAACTATCTCTATGAACCTCCGAAGAATAAGAAGCCAGAAGATTTTTGAAAAAGAAAAATTCAGAAAAAACAAGGGTAAAGTGAATTTTCAAGAAAAAATCAATACATATTTAAATATTCTGAAACATTGGCAAAACAAAACTTTTAACATGAAATATATATATATATATTTATAAACAAATAAATTAATTTTTAAATAATTACAGCAACATTTTTGTTTTTTTGAAGAAGTATTTTGGAAACTGTGCTTTTTTTTAGCATTTATTATCATATTTATTTTTCAGAATCAATATTTTGAAATCACTAAAATGGGAAGTAATGTCACATTTTTAGTTTAATGTCACTAGGAGAAAATACAAATGTTTTATTTTAATGTTATTTCTTAAACATAATTTTCATTTATTATCATCATTCATTATATTTATCAGTGTTATTATGTTTGTAAAAATAAATCGTTAAAATTTTGCAAATCTCAGAATACAAAATTTTATATACAAACTGATTTTGAAATTGCCAAAATGTTGATAAGTTGCCAAATTTAAAAGCATGTAAGTAAATTACTAAGTATAATAAGGAACTGAAAAAAGGAAAAGTTGTTTTTGATGTAATGTTTTATAAATTCTCCATTAAAAAAAAAAATAAAATAAAAATAAATACTTTGAAATGTTTGTTTCAATCAAAGCTGGGCATGGTATCTGAAATTCAAGTACCTACCATTTATATTAACCTTTTAACTGTCATGCCCGAGCACTACTGTTCGAAAATGTCACGCCCGAGTATTACTTGGGGTAATTTTTTTTTGAGTGCATCGTATTGTTATACCGGAATATATATTGGGAGACATTTATTTCGGCTTCATCTCTTTGTCAAACCCGACTGTATCTCGGGAAAAGTTAATGTGCGCTCAGTTCAATAGATGACAGCACTTTACTGAAGATTTCAAAGGTTAGAGGTTATTTGGTTCAAGGTGCATGGGATCTTTTTGTTGTAAAATAGCGTCCAGTTCTTTGAAACGTTATATAGATGATTTAGATTCTTCAACCGAAGATGAAGGATGTGTGTTTGATGAGCAGTATTCATGATACTTCCATGGTCAGCCTCAATAATAAAAAATGGAGATATACTCAAGCCGAAGATTGTTTCTAATTACGGTTAACTATGGGTGGTGTAGATCGCTGTGATCAGGAAATATTCTTTCATCCAACAATCCGAAAACGTCAGATAAAATATTATAAAAAGATATTTTTACATTTACTAGACAAGGTACTCTGGAACTCATATTTGCTCTATAAAAATGTAGTTGGGAAACGTATTACATTTTTAGAATTTCGAATCCAAGTTGTAGAAGAGCTTTTACATAAATATGATGATGCAGCTTCTGGACAAAGAATGTTGGCAGACCACCTACAATAGATAACCCTGCCGTCTTATGAACGACATTTTATATCCCATTTTCCTCCTATTCCTGCGAAAACGTGAGCCTACAAGACAGTGCAAAGTGTGTTTTCGAAAAAGGATAAAAATGGGGAAAAGATAAGGAAGGAATCACGAAATCACGATTTGGTGTAGTGATTTGGAGTTGGTTTGTGCTTGGAGAAGTGTTTCCAGTTGTACCACATAAGACTGAATTACTGAACTACTAATAGGTATTCACTTATATTTATTTATGTTTTAGAAAATATTTAATTTTTTTTATTTTAGAAAATAATGCTCCACTAGAAGTGAACTTTGCAACTGCCATGTTGAGTACAGTGCCTCAAGAAAATATGCATGGCTACAAAACTTTAAAAAGTTACCCATGTACATCAAATATCAATTTTTAACTACTTAAGTATTTTATTTGTACTTTACATATGGTTTTTGCAATAAAAAAATTTGACAATTTGTGTACCCAAATCATCAAAATAACTTGACAGTTAAAGGGTTAAGAAGGAGGGAAGAATTCAAACATTAACCCATCAAATACATATTTGTTAATGCATCATCACTAATAAATATTCCTCAAAATTGTTAATTCATATTCAAAATGGTAGTCATAAAAAACTGACAGAATGTCAGATATAAATTAAGAACCTTTTGCCAGTTTTGGCTGAAATTAAGGACTTTTAAACTAAAAATCATTAAAAAAAAAAAAAAAAAAAAAAAAAAAAAAACACCTAAGGATATTTGAGTACTTTAAAGGACAATATGAACTTGTGTATTTTACAAAATATTTTGAAAGCGTTACTTTCTCAAAATATTCAGTCAGCTTTAAAAATATGAAATATGATGATGTTATATGTGAAGGCTTAAAACATTACACATTTTTTAGCTAACAAAAACTTTGTACATATCTTAAATGATATTATTGTTAAACTATTTTGCATAATTAACTATACCAAATGTAAAACAATAAAAGTTGCCATTCAAGTAAAATTATATTTCAATTTTAAAAATACCTAAATAGTCTACATTCACACTAATAGATAATAGAAATTTACCTCAAAAATTGCAGAATGTCGTTTCCACGCTGAGCTGGGCACAACATCAAATGGAGCAATTCCCTGCAATGGTTTCCAAGCAGAGAAAAAATCTGCATTCTCTTCTTCAGAACAGTTTGTTTCATTAATAAACACAGTATCTGTTAAAAGGAAATTTCAAATTATTACTTACACACACATACTCCACAACATCTATTTTATGACCAAATTCATTCAACAATAATTATTCTCTAAACGTTTTGACATAGAGAATGCTCATAGCAGAGCTCTTCCAAAATATGTGAACTGTTACATTTGTTACCCTGTGTTACTAAGACTATATTATCTAACTGCTGAGGCATTGTTATTGCATACAACATTTGGTCTTTAAATTTTTTTTTTAACATGATCTTCTACATAGTTAATTTTTACTTTCTTGTACGAAGTAACCGCAAAAAAATTTGGTTCGATAGAAATATCCATTTTCACCATTTCGAATCCATTTAGACAATTTTTTTGCATCAAGTCTGTATGTATGGTTAGAATTGTAGCGATCACGTGGTGCGAGAGACCTTGGCAGCTTCAGTTGCTTGCTCATGTTGCCATCTCTTAACACCAATGACAAGTACTACAGTGCACGAGTTTTGTTTACCCTTGAAGATTATAATGACTTTGGGATTCAATCCTAGGTCTGTTTGATGCGAGTCGAATTCTCTACCACTAGCACAAAAGAGTTCCAGTGTGCTAGGTTCAAGAATTCCAATTCTTTTCAAATTTGTGAGCGTTGAGCTGTTCTTGATATCACTACAAGCTCCCCTCCTAAGCATTTCTGATGTGATATGAGGAGAAGCCCAGTTTGTGGGCGTGGTTGCAAGCTCAGTGCGTAGATGCGATTGATCATTGTGCTGATGAACAATGGCTATGGCTCCAGCATGTGGGTGTGCTCAGAGGCCTGGTCTGTTGGCATTTGTGTAGCTGTTAGTTTGGGGTAGAGCATGTGTGACATAGTTCGTCATTTGTCTTCAGTAGTTCTCCGGTCGCCAATGTAGCAATCACGTGGTGCAAGAGACCTCGGCTTTGGTTGCTTGCTTGCGCAGCCATCTATTACCACCAGTGAGAATTGCTGCAGTGCACGTTTTACTTTACCATAAAGATGACAATGACCTTTGGATTCAATCCTGGGCCTGTTTAATGTCAGTTGAATTCTCTACCACTGGTACAAAAGAGCTCCTGTATGCTATGTTCAAGAATTCCAACCCTTTTTAAATTTGACAGAGTTGACTTGCTCTCGAGGTCACTACAGAATAAAGGAATATTTTTTCCAAAACAGATCGTAAAATGGACAGAAAGGGGATTTTTTTTTTTTTTTTTTTTTTTTTTTTTTGGTAACATAAGTATGTATGTAAGTATCTCACATACCTTAAAAATGATTAGCTGTAGAATGCTTAAATTTTGTACATGGGACTGCTATAATCTAGTTGTGCATCTCCTTTTTTATTGCAATCAGCAAAACCATACACACATATATATACTCCTACCCCCTTGTCCGAAAGATTGCGAAAATAAAGGCCAGGTAACTCAAATTATAAGGGAAAAATTAATTATTTTTGACAAAAAACAAAATCTAACATTATTGTATTCTTCCGGTTCCTATGCTTATATTTGAAGAAATTTTATATTCATTATGAAAAAAATAAAAATTATAAGAAGTTTGACCCCTGTATAGAAAAAATTGACCAGGATATTTAATTTCAAAATTTATAATTTTTGATGTCATTCTCAATTGCCTAGAGAGATCAGTTAATTAAGTAAGAATAATTAGAGGAAATAAGTTGCAAATGAAGTGCAAAAATTAGTATAATTTAATAGGCCATGTGTGAAATTGTGTAGTGTCCACATCACATTTTTTAATAATTTAAATTTTAATTTTTGAATAATTCATTACAATAATGTGAAATAAAGCAGATGTAGACTTATTCTAATAATTAAAATATTTATAATGCATTATTATTTTATTAGTTTATTTTTCTAACAAATAACTTCATCCAAACAATTAAAGGCAAAGAATTAAATATTTAATTTATGAAATCAATATTATAGACAAAACAAAAAAATGCCCGGTTTTAGAAAAGAAATTTATCAGTTTTATTATAGGAAATCTTTATGTCTCATGTACATATTGATTGACATTATGAATCATCTTTCAAAAAAAAAAAAAAAAAAAAAAAAAAAAAGGTTGCTAAAGAACATAAAAGATTGCAGAATTTTTATTGTACATTATTTGAATCAAACCTCTTCCAAATCTTCATAATACAGTTTGGTACTTCCTTATTATTATTGCCCCTATTATTTAAACGGTGCCAAGATTATTGAGATAGAGGCAACATATGTGACAAATTGTTGTCAAATAGCTGACAGTTCTAATTACAGTCACTTACCGGTTGCCTGTTAAACAAAGAGTTATGAATAAGCTACAAATTACTCTCTCTCTCTCATATATTCTTCTTTCCAAAAAATTTCAACAATTCTTGATTGACTAAGAAAGATGATGCTGTATCTTTCTTTTAAGAAAGAGGCATTTTACTGCACATTTGAATATGAGAAACTGGCCATAAAAATATCGAAATAAACTATAAGTAACTGTGCTTAGGGATCCTGATCATTTGGCAATGTTTTATGATATATGTTGGCAATTTACCAATAATCCTGATAATGATTAAATAATAAGGGTCATAATATTAAAAAAGTATTATAATTTCTACAGAATTAAAATTCATTTGAAAAGAAATGATGTTGGCTTAATTTCAGCATCATTTACATATCACAATGCTTTTTATTAATGCTAAGAATTTACTTATCTAAATATTACAAAACAAAAATTGAAATAAGCAATAATATGAAGACTAGGATTAGAAGGAAAAGGATGTAGAAGATTTTCTTAGTCAAGTCTGTAAACTGAAATGTTTAAAAACGGTTTTATGATTCATATCAGACAGCTTTTTTTTTTTTTCCTTCACATTTCCATTCAATTGATGATGTTGTTCATAGTGTATTTCAAGTGTCAGTATTAGCTTCTGCAACAAGAATGAAGATTGTAAAGTATCAACCATATTCTAGTAAGCATTTAACAAAATTTTCAAAGTGAAAGCTTGTTTTATTCAAGGTTAGTGAGTATGCATATTCCTGAAAAATATTGCATTTTCCAGCCTACAATGCACACCGGTGTACAACATGCTTCGATAATTTCAAGCTACATTTTTTAAATTTTTAGGTACATTCAACATATAATGTGCATTATATTCTTCATAAAGAAACCTAAAAGATACATGTGCAATGTTCTTATCTTTTGAGATCACTTATTTGAAGATTTGTCCTAGCCTTTCAAACAATATCAAACTGACAAGCCATAAGGAAAACAATATGTGTGTGAGTTAAATGCTTGAGGGAGTAAATATTCCTGCAAAGAGGGTGGATTGTATTCAATGTAAATGCCCAAAAGAATGCTATTGTAGGGTCTCGAGCAGAAAATAATCTGGAGTAACAATGCACTTCCTGAACGAATTCATGGAATTAAGAGTTAGATGTTTTCTTTTTCTGTAGTGATTTGAAACTATGATTTTGAAGAGAAAATTCAAGGCTTTAGTAAATCACATTTATTTTAGTTGAAATGCAGTTGACTGACTATTTAGTAGTAGATATGGCTCCCGCAAAAAGAAACAAACACAGTGTTGGTTTCAGATGCAAAGCCATTCAATTTGCGAAAGAAAATGGAAATCATGCTGCAGCAAGGATGTTTGGTGTTGGTGAAAGTTCCATAACACGAGTGGAAGAAAAATTAAATCAAAATATTTAATAAGCCAAAGAATAAATGTGCTTATATAAGGAGTAGAAATGGCCTTTTGTAGAAGAAGTTGCAAAAACAGTCCTACAGGGTTCATAGCCACATTTTAGTTAAAAAAATAAGCACTTATAAGCACTTTTCAAGCACATTTTAAGAAAAAATATAAGCACCTGTCTAATTACATTATACACAACTGCATAACCTTAAAAATTAGACTTGTAATTTAAAATATAAGAAATGCAGTATTTATTAGAGAGAATAGAGCATTTTCTCAACCATGGAAAATAATTACTTTTTTTTTTTTTTTTTTTAAATTTTAAATAACAGTTCAATTTACAGAACTAGTTTACAATGAGAGAAGGAAAAAAAACTATGCAGAACTAAACTATATTACAAGATTTAATGATGAAATTTCAGTTCAAAATAGAGGAAAATAAATAATAATAAGGCATATTTATTGTATTTCGCTTGGAACCAATAATAAATACAATTTATTTTTCCACTCATATTGATATTTAAACTAATTTAAATCTAAATTTCTGAACATTTTCTAAATTTTCATTGTATATCAGTTTTCCCTTAACAGATATTGCAGAGCAAAGTAATTTAAGTAAAAAAGAGGAACATTTCTGAAATCAGAAGACAGAAATTTGCTTCATGCAGTCATCCATTAACAGTAAAAGCTTAACTAACCCGCATACTTGGAAACTGGCGAATATTCGGACAGTCGAGCGTAACTTGAAAAGAGGAGCGAGGGGGGGGGAGGATAGACTGTAGCCGCTCTTTAGATTTTTCGCTAAATAAATGCTTTTAAAACTGACATTTTGATATGTGCATCATATAAAACAAACCAACGGAACAGAAAAATATTCTGCTTTGCAAGCACAGTAAAACTCTTTTAAGTGTTCATAAACAAATCTCGGACGAACATCAAAATTAATTATCTCTGCAAAATATCGCAAACGTTATTGCGCAATACGTGCGCCGTAATTCTTCCCTACGTGATATTACGCAATCGGAATCAACAGCTGCCGGTATTGGGAGAATAAAGAACTAAATAAATAACTGGGGTGTTTTTCATTCTAATTTTCAACAGACTGCGTTAAATTTCCGGAATAGAATCATTCTTCGCTTGGGGTGGTAGACCGCAGAACTTTTAGTCCTATTCAATCCAGATTGGAAAGTGACCGAAAAAAAAAAAAGGTCCGTTGCTTGTTTTGCAACGAACTGTAACAGTTTCACTATTCAAGATTTTGCGGAGAAAGGGGAGAACTTCCCAACCTTCGCACTGTATAATGTATTGGCCAAAAAAATGAAATTATTTTGACTATTCGATTAATTTCCCTTTATTTAAGGCATTCCGAATATTATTCCTTAGAAAGCTAATCTGTGTTAAAAAACAACCATTTTTGGAAGTTTACTATACTTCAGCAGTTACTGCAAATATGTTATTTATAAACATGCATACATATGCTCATAATATAAGTATAACGATTATAATAAACATGAATATGAACTGACCAAGCGGAACGAGAATGCAAATTATTAAGATCTTGATAGAAATTCAAACGTGGGTAGTATTTGGGTGGGAGGAAAAGAACGCCGAATGTACCGGAGTTTTCTACTGCTTTCGCAATTCTTTGACCAACAGAACAACGGGCACCTACCTGTCTGTACTCTCTGCGCACACCAAAGGTTATGTTAATGCAGAGAAAGGAGGAAAAGCTATTTCCGGGAGTATGATTCACCATCTGACATTCCATATTAGGAAGAAAAGTTGTTTATTTAGTTTCGGCTTTGGTACAGAGAAAAAATTGTGCGTTCATTAAAAAAAAAAAAAAAAAAAGCACTAAAAGCAAAAAATAAGCACTTAAAACAAAAAAATAAGGGCTTTAAAGAAAATGTAAGCACCTATAAGAGCCTTTATATTTTATTTTCAAATATAAGGACTTATAAGGACCGCTACGAACCCTGGTCCTAGAAAAGTGCCAGAATAGATTAATTGTAATAAGAAACAGTCAGTGGCGTAGTAAGAGGGGGGCAAGGGGGGTCTATTATGCCCCGGCCGCCACAGGCAGAGGGGCATCAAATGGTCCCTAAGACAAGCAAGATTTTCATGAAAATTTCAATTTTTATTTTGATCAATTTCTGGGAAATAAGTTTTAAATCAATAATTATTGTAATATAATTATTTCCTTTCTTGGTTTGTCTGATGAAATATATTACAAATAATGTTTGCAATAAATCAGTCAAATATCTCCCTATACAAAACGTTCTTCCTTTCTGTGTACTTTATTTTTCTAAAATAGTGAAATATTTTTATTTTTTAAACGAAATGCACATACAGATCACGCTTGTCATTTAAAAATGATAACAATGAATGCACTGTAGTCTTTTATTATATTATAAGCCCTTCGACCTTGAATTATTTATTCGGCCGCTGAACTAGTACAGTAACCACAGTATTAGCAGTACTCAAACAGTAAGTCACATCAAAGAAATTATGGACTTTTATATTTGGTTCGACTCTTGATATCGCTCATCGAGAGCAAATGTTGCAAGTCTTTAGGTATGTAGATATTTATTTTACCCACAGAAAAGTTTCAATCAAAGGATCTTTTGGGGGATTTATTGAAGTACATGCTAAAGATGGAGCCTCAATTGAAAATATAATTTAGAAAAATTAAATTCCAATCAGATTTTATAAACAAACATTACAATGGGAATTAAAAAATGCTTTAAAGAAAACTATTAAACACGAATCTGCAACAAAATAGAGTGCAAGAGCACAAGCAGTGGTTATATAATATAATATACTTATATAATATAGCGTAATATATATATTATGCTTATAATTGTTATAGTCCCAACGAGTTTGGATTACGGACTTTGTACTGTATAAATCTAATACACGTCCTAAGTCGTGCTTTCGAGACATGAAAAACGCAAGTTCAATTTCGTCAATCAGTCCAATAGAACGGGAGATATATAACTGTCTCCCTTTTTTTTGGACAGTGTACATAGAGAAATTTAATTTTTACTACACTCATTCCTTATTTTTAAATCTATAATTTTTACACCCAGTGTATAACTTGCACCCTTAAGTTTCAATCTTATTTTTTGAATTAAACATGCATGCTATACCCCAGAATACATGGTATTTATTTTTCATCAACTAAGAGAAAACAACTAAAAAAAAAAAAAAAAAAAGAAGACGCACACGTTTTTCAAGAATCATAAACAGGGCAAATGCTTATTTTGAAAAAAATATGTCAGTATGTAACCTGCTTGCCAGACTAAGACACTGTTCTAAATTCTTGAAATGGACAGTGTGGTTTCAGTATACCATTATCAAGATAGATAGGGCAGTCAAAGCAATAACAGTCTTTCAAAGTCAGCTCAAAAAACATTTGGGAACCATCACAGCACTTTGTGCATTGCCCACTCCACAAAAAGCCATACTTTTTGCCCCCTCTCCCCTTTTATAATATTAGCAGGATTGTTGCCTTTAGACCATTTTTTTTTTTTTTCCAGTATATACAAAAAGGCTTTAAAAATTCACTTTTAGACAGACAATTTGAGGTTTGATCAATTATAAAATTAAAAATGATATTACTTTTTGGATGACTTTAATTGACTAAACACATGTCAATTTATATAATAATACCAGTTTTCTTTAAGGATTGATTAAATGAAAAAACTTAATCCTCATATTATCATAATTCAGGGATAGCAAGGGGGATAATATATTTGTAAAAGATGTAAACACACAACATTCTCATAACTCTTTACCTCCTGAGAAGCATAACAGCTTTCATCCAATCATGAGATTTTTTGCTACTTGGTATATGTCAGATTGCAATTTAAAATATTTTGCTTTCTTACTTTCCTTAATAATACAAATATCATCTTAATGAATAAAAGTTAATATAAGCAGAGATTAAAATAAATCATTATAAAAATTTAGTTAATATAAGCCATTTAAACACAGGTTTTCAAGAACAGATCCAAAAAGCCATGACTCAGAGAGTTAAGGACTAGATCAAGATTGGATTAAAATTACCACAAGCAGTATTCAGCAGAAACTTCCAAAAATTCACACAATCTACTGGAGAAACATTCTTCCTTGAGAACCTAAATAAAGCATAGAAAATCTGAAAATTATTTTATTTTATACAGGAAAAAGATACATGTATGTATACTTAATTCTGGAACTGATTTCCATTACTATTCAAATCTATAAATCTACAGCATCAAAAATTATTTTCCAATATTAATTCTTTTCACTCTTGCAATAATGAAAATGCTTTCCATAAAATTTTGTTCCATATGTTACAGGATTTTGTAAAGGAATACTTATGTGTAGCATTCATATTCAAGAAAGTAAAGACTAGTTATCTCCTTTGATTCTACTGCATAAAGCTCTTTTATAGGTGTACTGACTACCTAAGCATGTTTTATATAAAATCGTTTGACAAGTCAAAGAGTGCTTTGCAGCTCAAGTACATTTTAAAGCAAACACATACTATGCTTCTAAATATTTATAAATAGATCTTTTTATTTGGATACTAGAAAGTTACTGGAAATAAAAGAAACATATTCTTAATTTCTTTTATAAACATTTATAATTTTTCTGCTTAGATTTCAAAGATTTTGTGGTATTATTGATAAGTTCTGTTTTTGATCTGAATGCTAATTCCTCTTCATATTGCAATTACCTCATTATACAATTCTCCTTCTCCACAAAATATTTATTGCTACACTTAGGGATATTTAAAAAAGTGCACTCAAAACCTCATAAACGTGCAGCCAATATTAAAAATAAAATAACCTGTCAACATTTGTATAACTACTCACAAAATAGCTAAATGTATTTGCCTACTAATAGCTATGCAATAAGACTGCTGAACAGTAGTAGTATAACCCAGTTTCAAATATCAGCAAATGGGCTAGCTGCATGCGAGTTCTCAGGCTTTTCTCCATGTTTAACATATACTAGCCAGTTTCTTTCAAAAAGTCTTTCATGAAAGGCATCCCTCCCTTTAGTCAGATAGCCTTCGAGTGCTTTGTTATAATGCAAATAACTAATCAGCTACAAGTATTCAATGTTATAATATTCAAATCATAAAAATCAAATACATATTTAAATCAGGAACAGTAAACATTTTTTGGAACAGGTCTTTTTTTTTTTTTTTAGCATAAAAATTTGGGGCTAGGTGGGCCAGGTAGCAGCCTCAAAGATATTTGCATGTGTGATTCCACTCACAGAGGAGTTTAAAAAAAGGGGGGGGGCTTAAATTAGTAACAAAGTGAAATTTTTTAAATAATATTTAGACACATTTTGCTGATACTTACAAAAAATAGTAAAATATTTTTATTCACAAACATGTTATATAACAGGTTAAAATTTGTACTAATGTGTTGAATACAATTTTTTTAAGATAATATTTCATTATACTGGAGTTTGAAGTTAGTACTTCCTATTATAAAAGTTGTTTGCATCAGTACTGATCTGAGCTGTAATTTTACATACTTCAGTTTCGAATATGTCCATTCATATTGGTAAGCACTTTCAAGTACAAATATAAATCCTATATATTTTAATTGATGTATTTATTTTCTAAAATATATTTATACACTTAAGACAGACCTAATTCCTGAAACATCATTTTCAGCATATTATCACTTTGCTCAACAATCACTTCTAATTGAAGGTATGAAGGAAGCTTCTCAATTGTACTATCAAACAGATTTTGATATATAGAACTGTCTTTTGCACTTGCATCAAGATTCGAAAATGTTATTGTAATTGTAGTTTTAATTCAGAAAACAGATCCATGACAATCCTTTTTTAGAAATAGGGATTTTGCTAACATTTGAAATTTTTTAAAGTATGGAAAATGACTGAACTTTCTTAATGTGATATATGCTTAAAACGATACTAATTTTTATCTATAGAACTTTACAACATAATTTTCAGCTTTATGACTTTATGATAAAATATGTTTCACATAGTAGCATTGTTTTTTCCTGTAGTTTAAATTCATTAACATATTCCCCAATATCTATAATAAATATTACTTTCTATAGCCATTTTATTGTTGAATAATGCTAATTCAGCTGTTTTCTCAATATGAAAAAAACTCCCATTACTTTTCTTGGTTAAAAAAAAATCTACAAAACTTTTGCTGAGTCATTGAAATACTTATATAGTAGGGTAAATCAGGATATTCAACTTCAGTCTGTAATAAAAAAACACAAAACTGATGATCTACAGGAGTGAATAAAATTAACTGCCAACATAGCAGGATAAATGATACAACATAGATTAAGATATTTCCCACAAAGAGTCTCTAATGAACAATATGATTGATTACAAAATGTTTTAAACATTTAACTTCTGTATAAGCCTTAAAAATTTATCCAACTAATCCTTTTCACATTCCATTCACATTTTCTCCACCTAAGTTGTTACTTACATAAATTGACTGCATAGCAGATTGTACTGTAATAGCATTTTCTTGACTTACTTGATGATATCTTCCACTATACTTTTTCTATGCATACTATTCATAGAAGATAATTCTTCAGTCACTTCAAATTCAGTCCTGACTTCTCAAATAAACAGCACCAGTTGGAGCAGTTTTGGTAATGTCTGTTGACTCACCAACAGCCAATGAAAACTAACTGAATTTTTTGCTTTGTCTTTTAATTAACTTTTCATGCAGTTCCTCATCGCCTCAACCCTTTTAAAACAGTAAGACTGACAAATCAAAACATACCCATTTTTTCGGCTTCTGCAAGCAAAGAAAATTTAATTAATACACCACTGGTAAAGGGTTTCCCTTTCTTGGCTAGTAAGTGTGCTCTTCTTAAGCTGACTTTAGTTAATGCTTCATTATCATTTTTTATTTTTGTGAATAAATTGCAATGTAATGAAGCATTCTGTTCTAAGCATTCCAATTCTAGTGATCATTCATTTTCTGTGTTTTGAATATTAAGTCACATGCTTATGACAATGTTATTTATACTCTTTTTGCACAGCTATATGCCATAACATAATAAACATAACATTTTATCATTTCATTCTATGACAAAATAATTCACACTCCATTCTGCTTTAAAAGAATCAAGTCCACTTTTAAACCTTCTTAGCTACTCTTGAGAGTGATATAGAAAAAGTGGACATTAAAAGTAAAGTGAAAAGAACAAAACACTACAGGGTGCCAAATACACATGCGACAAAAGTAAAATCGAGATAATTGGAAACGACAGACCAACTATTTTGCCGAAGTGAAAAAAGTCACTTTCTTAACATACGAGAAGATATGAGTTTCCTGACAAAGTTTACTCTGCGTATAAAAAAGGGGGGAAGGGCATTTACTGAGACAGATTTCTCTGAGTGGTGGTGGGGAGAAGCCATGTATCATTCCACACCAAAATACATACACATCAGGGAAATCTCTTTTATGTTTCATGATAGCATGTAGCTGTTGTATTTCCAGAGTTTGGATGCTGCATTTGTTCACTTGTCCAGATAAATTAAACATTATCTATAAAAGAATGTATTTTTGCTTGACCTCTTCATGAAATATTTACAGAAATTAAGTCCTGAAGAGTTTTAGGAATAAATATCATCTAACACCTTCCAAACTGTTTGAAGAAGAATACACACCATCTATTTATACACACTGAAAGTGAGAGCATTTCAAATTCGATTGATGTTTTCTTCAGATATGAGGGGATATCTGAGCATTTCGTGGCACACTGGAATGTATCACCTTCTGTAATCATTTAAATAAAAATTTTAGCCCTGGATCTTTGATGGAAATTATGCTGCATAGTTGTTCCAAATTTGCATGCACAGAATTGGAAAACACAAAAAGCTTTCTGTGGATGCTTTACAATTTCAAACAACTAGTGAGCTGAAATATGATTAGGAGGATGTTGAGAGCAACGTCTTCTATTAACTTAACTGCCCTCTTTTTAACTGTGGGCATTTCATTCAAATACAATTAACTGTTTTCAAGCTATATCACTCTGCAACTGAATGAAGTCTAAGAGATGTAGTGTAAATATAACTTGCCTGTTAAAAGAATTAAAATGCATAAGAAATTGAAGAAAATTAATTATTCAACTTAATAATATTATTTACTATTTTTTATTACTGAAACAACCATACTAAATTTAAAAAAAAAAAAATTAATTTGTTATAGTTATTCATTTGCCTTCATTCAAACCAATTATTGACACTAAGTCAAAGGAAATATCTCAGAAATCGTAGGGAAAAATTGACAAGATTTCCTTTCATATATTAAATCAGCATAATAATACTACTGCAAAATTAATGTGTTAAGCTGAATTGATGAAGCATAAGATATGACATTCATATTTTAGAATACAAAGACGACAACAATAATAATAATAATAATAATAATAATAAAAACACTTTTATATAAAATATCTCCACTTACCTGTGATACAAACATCTTATCATTCGAATAGCAGTCCTTAGAGAAAATGATGAGTTAAGTGACATTAATTCAGATAAGTCTTGTAAAAAATCAGATGGTAATTCGTCCATGTGGATAATGAGATGTATTACCGTGTTTTGGAAATCTTCATTTGGATACTGCAACATCTCTAGCATATGAAAAAACATTTACAATATAATTACAAAAATGAATTAAAGTGATAACATATAAAAATTTATTATTTATCCAGTTTTGCATAAAATGAAGCAATTACTTTAACCCTCTATTAAAAAAAAAAATGCTTTATATAAAAATCACTGTTGGCATGAAAGATTCATATGTAAGATCAGAAACAAACAAAATAAAACATAATGCAACCCAACAGAACATTACCAATACGCATAGGCCACAAACAAATAAAGTACGAGAGGTATCCCATAATAAATAAATAAATAAACCATGGCAAAATAAAATATCACACAATAATACTTACTAATTATCTCAATAAACTGAGGCAACTGGAACAGTAATCATTACAGATTAAAAACTTGGATAACAGAGTAAATTTTAAATCAAATCATTTTTTATGACATTTTTTTTAAAACAGCTTACTTAAAATTCTGAAAATAAGTGCACAAATACTACTATTAACATTTTAACAAACTTCATTTATTACAGAATAAAATTTAAATCCTTCAATTAAAATGTATTTTTAAGACAAATAAAGAATTTTAAAAAAAAGTCAATAAGCACAAACACACGTGCCTACGCATGCACTCAAACAGATACATAGTCTTATTACTTTATCAACTGTCACAGAGTGTTATGCCAGTTTAGCAAAAGCAACAAGGCCCTGCTTTATAAAGTGCTTTGCTTAAGACTTCAGGATGTTTAATTTTCTCATTTGTTTCTGTTTCATTGCCATCATCTGCATCACTTTCATCTTTCCAAATCTATAGTGTGAATGATTTTTTTTTTTTTTTTTTTTGTTTGTGTGTGTGGTGTGTGTGTGTGTGATTCAAAACTCAAGAACATGTCTTGCTATCTTTTACTTTTATCCATTCCAAAATCGTATCTTCTTGAGCAATGTCTTCACATCAACACATTGTTACAAATTCTGTACATATGTAAATAATTGTGACAATAAATTGCAGTATCTTTTGCATAATGTAATATGAAGTGCCTTAAAAATGCAAAGCTTTGCCGGAAAAAGATCACAGGGGCAAGTTTAATTAACATCGAGGCAAATGGCTATCTTGCCAAATTGATAAGAAAGCCCAAATGATCAAGCATTATTGAGAAGAAAATTCATGCATGTTACTGATTTTCATTGTGCTCTTTTTAATGTTACTACATGTCCCCAAAGATTTCTTAAAACTGCCAGCACAGTTAACAGAAATTCTCTCGTATAAGATAATTTAGTCAAATGCCCCACTTTTGAATATGCAAAATTTTCACTAATTAAAGACTAGTAACTAATAACTAAACACCAGTAAAACAATGTTTAAATAAAGTTAATGAAAAAAGACAGAAAATTAATAATGAAAGAAAGATATACCACCATATTATGTATTAAAAATATTTACTCTTCTTAAGTTAACACATAGTATGTAGGCATGTTTACCTCATGATGTCTCCGTTTGTCTAAACACCCTAAATGATTTAATTTTGCAGCTTTTGTTTTCCCTTTATGGAATAATGATTCTGATAAATGTGCATTACTTCAGCATGTTATGATGCCTTACTTACTGTACTAAGAAATCGATGAAGAGAGGGAAGAGGAACCCACACATGGTCATAATACTTCTGTTTGCATAAAACTTCTACATTTTGTTCAGTGTAGTAGCACTCTGGCTTATCATACTAGAGCACAGTTATCAAGAGTTTTGTCAAGAGAGATAGCTTACACCCACCATACACAACAGGACATTAGTACTGCAAAATCATGGGATGCAACTATTAGTTACTCCTACAAAGAAAGTTTCAGCAGGAGAGATAGCTCACAGCCACCACACAGCACACGGTATTCCTACTCTTTCCAAAACATGGTAAGAGCTATGATGCAGCTGCTCTTGACTGACACAATATCCCTCCAAACAAATCCCTTCCTGCATACCTGCACTATTTCTGGTGCAGTGACGCAGATTTTTCTGTACGCATGAGGGAAGGAACAGCAGACCACTATGCATCTGATTCCCCACAAACATCAGGATAACATCTTAAAAATGCTAATAGAAACAGATCTGCATAAAATAAAATTGGGCTCAGTCATTTTCTATTGTGCAATTGCCTACTCAGCCATGTCTAGTTGTATGCAACTTGCTCAAACACATCCATGATGCAAGTTCCCTACAGCAATTGGTATACAGTGGCACACTTCAACCTCTGGTAATCAGTTTGTCATCATTAACCCATTTCCATGCTATATACCATCAGTTCAGCAGAACTCATATTATTGCCTCAATATCTCCCAAAAAGCTGGCATCTAAATTCCATATAGCTAACACCTGGGTCAGAGGCCAACTAGAATAGCATCCAGCAACTACAAACATAGCTTTTAGAATATTTAGAAAAATAAACACTTTAATTAAATTTATCATGTTTAGAACATAATTTGCCAATAAATATATTTTGTGTCAACAATCATATGTATTCATAACGACACCAACAGTAAATTAATCCTATGGCAAATAGGATCTATACCTTTTAAACTAATTTCCTTTTTTCAATGACACAGTTTATGTGCACTTGCTAATATTACACTATCAATCAATGCTTGTTTTAATGAGAAAAGTATGATTTTTATTTCATGAGAATTAGCACAGATCAGATTCTTTGGCAATCCATTACAAAAACAAACAACTTCTATTTCCAAGATTTGGCAAACTTCAGACATTATAAACTTCAAATTAAGAGGGGAAAAAAAAAAAAAAAAAAAAAAGGAAAGAAGCAGACAGAAAGCTCATTGCATACTTTTAAGGTATTACGAAATGAGAAGATCTGGCTATAAGCTGCTATATAATTACACAGCAACCATTTATAAAGTACTTTTATATGATCCCTGCAACATTTAATTCAATATTTATTAATAAATTATTATGAATAAAAATATACCGATAAGTTATATAGCCAATGGAAAATTACAGTTATCAGTTAATATATAAATATCAATGACTTTTTTATTTTATAAATAACAATTTTACCCTAAACTTGAAAATCTGATATAGTTATATTATTTCTACGCTTATCTATTAATCCAGTCTGCAATGTAAGTTATTATATGTTACACTGAAGAAGCACAAGTCTTTACGAAATGTCCCAAAGGATGAAGCATATAATTTAAGAAATGCTGACTTACAACAGACATAACTTTAAAGCCTTTCCAACCCTCTGCTATTTGTGAATACAATAAGTATTGTCATCACCACACAGTACTTTTCTCCCTCTCATTTGAGACTATAGTTCAAGGTCAGTCTTTACTCATATACTTTAGAATAGTGGTGCCCAACCTTGTGCTCGCTGATCGTTTCAAACGATCAAAACAAAATTGATACAAAATTATATAGATTAATACAAAACGATATGATTGATACAAAACGATCGGCGAGCACGATCATTTTGTATGTACTCGCCAGCCCAATTATGTACTATAACAAAAAATATTTTTAAAATAAACCATTCATTTATATTTCTTAATTGTTAAAATATGGTAAGCATTTATAGTCATAAGAGATATCTTGCAAAATGTTATAAAATAATTGATTGATTGATTGCTGACTAATGAACTTGATAACGAATATGGAATCTTATTGCTTTATGCATCGTCATTCAGATGTTAGATGGCTCGGCAGGGGAACTTCAACGATTTGTAGAACTTTTTTCGCCAACAGAACAGTTTTTGGAATCTGGAAACGAACGTTATAAAGAATTGGGTGATAATAATTGGTTATCCGATCTGTATTTTCTCAAGGATATAACAGCTAAATGGAACAAATTGAACAAAGATCTTCAGAGAAGAGAAAAAAAAAAAAAAAAAAAAAACCTTTTTCAATTGACTGGGACTATTAAGGCTTTTCAGATAAAGTTAAATTTGTGGATAAATCAGATGAAAGAAAAAAAAAATCACCCATTTTCAGAATTTATCAAGCCATATTAATAACCACAAGGCAATTGAAACAGAGAAATACTCGGAAAAAACCTAAACGCACTGAAAAATAATTTTGAACTCCGCTTCTCTGATTTCCATACAGTTCAATCAATATTATTATTCATCTCAAACCCATTTGCTGAAATTTATATTTCAGATGTATCACATAAGATTGGAAATATATTTAACAAAAATGCTGATGCTTTGAAATGTGTTCGTGATAGTCTAAAGGTGGGCCCCACTGCTTTAGAGAAACATGCTAAACAGAAAAGAACTGGGGGATGGGGAACTGCCCACCTGCCACAGTTGTTATTATTGACCCTGAAATGCCTATTTTAAAGTAACAAACTAGCTGTCTGCCGGTCTTCAGTTAGCAGAAAATAATTTGTTTTAACTTTTAACCTAATCCAACAAAGCAATACATTTTTTATTCTTAATAGAAATTAGAACATGTGTTTCAATCACTGATGTGAAATAGTGTATTTAGGTAGGGGGAAACCCTATGAAATCACCAGAGATGTAAAGCTGCTTTAAAGCTAAAGAAATTTAATAAAAACTGCAGAAGTAAGACAAATCCTGAAAATGCATTTTAAGATAGAATGTGATTTTTTATACCAAATTTGTTATGATCAATGAAAGTTAATGATTAAATAAGTACAGTCAGTGAAATGCTATTTATGTAGGCTACATTTCAAGAGATTTAATGCTACAAATTTACATTCGTAGTCTATAATCTGTAAAAAAATAAAAGTGACTTTAGTTACTGATTATTTGAACGTAAGCATGTAACTTTTACTTTTAAATTTATAATTAGTGACTTAAATTTTGTCACCACTTTTTATTGCTTACATTTTAATCACTAAATGAGCACTTTCAAAATGTAATTCAATACATCAAATAAATATGCTTTAATAGTGTTATGTGTTATCACTTTGCATCTTTTTACAGAAATAATTCAGCAAATGCAAAGAATAAAGTATAGACAGGCATCAATGCAGAAGGCAGACCAAAAACTTATAAAGATGTTCGCAGAGAAACTGAAGCTAAAATAGCAAAATATTTATGAACTGAGTAATATAGATACTGCACTTTGTAACGAATACGATTATTAAAGTCTCCTGCTTGTTCAACAGCAAAAGGTAAGACAAAGATTTGCATTACAGTCAAAAGTCGTTAATTCGGACACCCATAATCCGGAATGATCTATAACCCGGACCTCAAAGCTACAAACTTTCTGTGCATGCGTCGCTTTCATGCATGCGCACTGGCGTTTAAGAGTGCGTGTAAGACCTTTCCGGCTGCGAATATGTTTGTGCGCATGCGCGTTTAATGTGTAACGGAGGTATAAGCTAAGCTAAAATTATCTAATTCAGTTAATGTTGCAGATTGCGTTGTTCCTTAATCTTCAAATTGGATCCGGCTTATTATTTTTTGCAGACTGTTAGAGCAATTTCATAAAAGTAAGCTTGAACTTTCGATTATGTCAAATAGAATTTCCGATATATATTTACTAATATGTAATTTTGTATCTACAAAGCGAAAGTATGTTTTGAAATCCGAAATCTGTTTATCAATTTCCCACCGCAGATTGGAAGTTGATCTGTCAGCACTATCCTTATCTTCAGGGGGCAGATGTTTTTATTTTATTTGGCTTATAATTCCTTACTAAGTGTAGTATTTCATCTCGATGTACTCCGTCTTTGATATGATTTAAATCAAGTTCTTCGTCATTATAATTCGCTTCCGATAGTGAAGAAAGTGACCCAGAGGTTATTGAAAACGAAAACATTTCGATTGACAAATTAGTCGGTATTCTCAACACAGCAATTATAGGACTTGAAGAATGGAACTTTGTAACTAAACAAGAAATTATGTCTGTTTAATAGAATTAAAGAGAAAGTATTATCACATGAAACGAAGCAACTTACATTGAAAGAAATGTTTAATAAAGTAAACAAATAAATATTAAGCTTTTTTTGGAAATTTTGATACCCTTTAGATCATAATTGTTCTTTATTTCATAAATTACGGTTTCATATTTTTAATTTTGTAATTTCTGCATGCCATCTTACCAGATTTAAACTGATGATCTATAATTCGGAAAATCGATAATCCGGAATCGCCGAAGTCCCGACGAGTCTGGATTAACGACTTTTGACTGTATTTAATTCACTTCTGTAAGAAAACTGAACAGTTTTGAAATTAATTATTCCCAACTCTTGAGAAAAATCTAGAAAGCTGTTTTTTATCATATGTGTAGAATTCAGGATACATACTACTTCAAAACATATAATTAAAAACTTGCAAAAGTAAGTTGTGAAAAATATGAATTGCACATTTGTAAGTTTTCAATACAATAATCAATGACTGCTTAAAGAAGGAAAAGCAGGAACATGAACTTGAAATAATTTGAGCTTAAAATATAGGGAATTTGAAGGCAAGTACTCTAACATAAAAATGAGAGATAATACTCTCAATACTTCTATATATTCAGATTTATATAGATTGATTAAAAAATGTCAAGCAAATGTTGACATTAACTTGTAATAAAACCTGTTTGAATGTAAGTGTAAGAGAACTAATATAGAATATACAGACTAGCACATTTATTAGGACTTTTACCTATAGAAATGATGAAAATTATTGCCTGAGAGTTAGATCCCAAATGCAATGACTAGTATAATGCTACACTACTATTAAATTGACTTAAGTTATTATAAGAAAAATTGTGCAATCCAAAAATTACAACTGTAAACTTGGGAGGAACTGATTTAATAATTACTGATCAAATGTAGAAACACACATAAAGAGCAACATTTATTCAATGAATGGGGATAAATCTGGAAAAGTTTAGTTGAAAATCTCTATGCACATAATAGCATACAGAATGTGAGATGATCAGAGAATCTGTCACCAATTAAATAAAAACTTTCACTGTGAGGAGAAAAGCTTTCCATAGCAATATGTAAGAAACTCCAGTCAATTGATAATGAATATCAATAAACATTTGCCTAATATAGACGAGTATCAGAAAATAAAGTAAGGAGAGATAATTATGTAATCATAGAATGGAACAGATGTTGCAGATTCATATCCACATATATAAAATGCATTTAAATAAAACACAATGCAGCTATAACTGTGTTGATTGATCCCGGAAACTCAAGCTGCCTGTTAAAAGAATAAACTGTGATTTAGTTAAATTTAATAAAAACAAAACAGAAGAAAATCTTAAATTATTTGCGTTCGGGAATCAACTAATACTAGCAGCAAAAATAGCAGGAAAAGTAATAGCAGACATAGAAACAGATAATTATACTGGAAGATATATCACAGTGCTTTTAGTAAATGACTGTATGCTGCCAACAGATTTAATTGAAGGTAGAACACAGACTATCTACCACAAATTATTTATGCTAAAATATAGAAAGAATTATACATAAAATACGCTGGTGGAAATACTCTTTGATACTGATACATAAAAATTAAACTAAAAGCAATCAATGAAATATATATTAGATGTGAAAGCTACAGTAAAAGATTTAGGTAATGGGTTAGTGCTCATTCAGGATTTGGAAGATAAGTTGGGATCATTACTAGAAGTAACAGAGGGAGAAATCATGGTGCTAATCACAAATTTCAGAGATGAAAAATTAATTGTGAAAAGGAACCAGTGCATTGGTACAGCCAACATTGCAGAACTAATTACACTATACCAGGAAACTCCATGCAGGAGGGAATATTTAGTATTAATAAACTGTAAAACTTTAAAAGCCGATAATCTAACAAGAGATTAGGATTGACAAGAATATAACTCCAGAAAGTATGTAAGAAATATTATAGTTAGCAAATGAATTTAAAGACTGTTTTGCATTAAATTTGAAAAAGTTGAGTTGTCCCAATCTTATAACAATACATATTATGCACATAATATGTATTGTTATATACCCTCTGACTGCTCAATTTGTGGACCGAAATCGCTTCAAAAATTGTGCAATTTTTTTTTTTTTTTTTTTTTTTGTATATTTTAAATCTATATATATTGGAAAATTGAAAAATGCATTTTTTCCTTTCTAGAAAATATTTTTTATATAGATTTTTATCATGAGAAACTAAGTTGCCAGAAAAACCAATTTCTGATGTTATCACCCCCCAAAATTTTTTTAAAAATAAATTTCAGTCAAATTACAGTTAATTTCTATTTATTGCATAATATAAATGTAAAAATATAAAATATAAGAAAATATAAAACACTGAGGAAAAAATATCTTAGAAATGCAGTTAAGTATGAAAGAGTTCAAAACAGGGTTCAAGGCAAAGTCCAACTTCACAGTCTTTACCCTAGATTCAATAAATCTAATTAATAATCAATCTAATTATTAATATAATCAATAAATCTAATTAATAATTCAATAATTTAATTAAATAATCAAGATAATTGCTGAATGTTTTCTAGCAGCCATTTTTGTAAGAAGAAAGTGGAGTTTGAGCGGTAATACCACATGCTTTCAAATGCCGCAATTTAGTGAACAACTAACAATATCTGTTGGCCAAAACGTAAACTAAATGTCCAATACTGTATATAATTTATTTCAGTGGTAAAAGGGGGAAAACGGGATGTGCAGATTTTGTTACATTTGAGTTGCTCGTGGAAATCGCGGGATGAGCAGCCAGAGGGTTAACACTTGGGTAGTAACAAGATTAAGCAATTTTTTCTTCCCAAATGCAAGCAATATCTGTCAGTCATAAATTTGCAATGTGAGCTCTATTCAATGTGTAATTTGCAAAGTGTGCCCAATGTAACGTGTAAAGAATGACTATAACTGAAGAAGAAATATGATGGAATAAGATTGTCTTACCCCAGCCCAGTGCTGTTTATAAAAAAAAAAAAAAAAAAAAAAAAAAAAAAAAAAGAATTTTAATTAGTAGCAGACTACAGTAAATTAAATTTTCACAAACTGTTAAGGATTTTTTCTTCTGATAATACGTGACTTACATAAAGGTTTAAAAGGATGTAAGTTTTTCATAGCATTGGATTTAGCTCAAGGATATCTATAGATTCCTTTGATTGAGAAAGCAAAATTGAAATGAGTATTTATTTCAGGTGACACAGATCAACTTGAGAAGATAACATTTGCACTAATGCTCCAGTAGAATTTAAGAGATTAATGAATTAGGTTTTACAACCATTACTGAACGTAGTACTATTGATATACTAATGATGGCATACTAAAATACTGTAGAGAAATTATGTTATTTCGAAGCAGATGTGAAAAATGAGCAATGCCCTTGCCGGGACTCGAACCACGGACCTCTTGAATACACGTCAAGCGTACTGACCACTACACCACGAAGTCGCACTAAGGTGGCTGGAGAAATACTTTATATACTCCCCCTTTTAAAAGGCGACTGGAGATTAGGGGACCCAATCGCCTAATCCTGGTGGTGGAGAATCATCACCCACCACGTTTTTTAGTTTGGGTGCCACTGTAGAGACATTAGGTATTTTTTGAAAGCAGGAGAGATGAAAAATGAGCAAAGCCCTTGCTGGGACTCGAACATCGTACATCTCGAATATGCATCAAGCGTGCTGACCAATACACCACGGAGGCATGCTAAGAAGGTAGGAGAAATACCTTAAAATACTAACAAAATCATGGTATAGAATGATTTCCAAACTGAGGAATATTTTTAAGTATTTGAAAGAGCAAAACTCATATTAAAAATAAAAAAACTTACAAATGAATAATTAAATTTAACCTAAAATTTTTTATTTTAAAATTACAGAAGACATGTATGTATACAAGTGAATTCTATGGAGATTTAAGCTAATAGCTATATTATATATAAACTTATATTTCACAATTATATAAAAGTATTTCTACAAAAAATAGAAATAGTTTAAAATTAAGAAACACATATATTTAAACTTACGAAGCATTTGATTAGGTCTGACTCTTTTCAAGGTTTCCATAAAAGTAGGAAATTTCAGAGTGCATATTTTCTTAATGTCTTTCAATAACTTTTGGTCAACATAGTTAGATGACATCATTTCACTCATTTCTCTGAAAAGAACTTGAAACCAAAATTTCAAGCTGCTTGCCCTGCAATATATAATAAGAAAAAGAAATTATATTTTTTGCAATGTTAAATGAAATTGACTGTCTTATGCCTCCCGTGAAATCTAAAATTTGTTTGGTAAAATCTACTTTAAATTCATCTTTATTTTTTATATTTTTCTGCACTTAATACCACAAATATTCTTTTATGAAACTTTACATATCATTACAGATACTCCAATCAAATTAGATTTCATGACAATGTTTGTGTTTGGTGCTAAGTAGCATCCTGTTGAAGTCAGAAAACCATCAATGGAGCAGCAGCACCATCATTACAATTTTCGGCAATAGTTGTTCCATCAATGGGTACCATCTACTACACCAAGACAAGGAGGTGGTTGAGAATATTTTACATAAGTTTTTACATTAATAATGATTTACAGTTTTACAATTAGAGAATGTGTACAAAGAAACATATAAAACAAACATACAATTATAATAGTAATACAATTTTGATATGTGTACAGATAGAGTCGAAAAATTATACAGATAAATATCGATAAAAATGTAAGAACATAGACATCAAAAGAAAATTTTTAAATATATAAAAATAAACCAATGAAATCAGGATGAAACCTTAGAATTTTGACAAACATTGCCTATAATTAATTATAAACAGTCAGTAAAGTTTATATATAGTCATAGAGAATTAGAAAAAGTCTAAATAGATATAATGATGAAATAATATAAAAATATAAATATATCTAAATAGATATAATGATGATATAATGCATCCTGTTGACAGAAAAATATCAAAAGATTTTTGAGGATCTTTCTTTACCACATATAGTCAAAAACAACAAAACTTATTCATTAAAAATTTACAAGGGATAACTTTTGATAAACAGTACAATACATTCATAAAACTTCAAACTATAAACTTCTAAGAAAAAGTATATATATGTAAGATGAAAAATACGTAAATCAGCTTTAAAATTTAATTTAGTAATAGTGTCTTAATTCCTCCTTTTTAATTTGGATATTTTCTCTTTGTATTCTAGAGACAGTAATAACTTTTCTGGATTGTGTCATTTCTAGATCAATCTACGTCACATGGCTTGCACAATGGTGATGATGTGGCTAATTCAGAACTTAAACTCAAAGTTTGGAGAACTGAAACCTTTCTAACTGTGAGAACACAGAATTCTCACAGTGCCTGCATCGATTCTTGTATCGTTATCCCACGTGGCCACGTGCATCGAAGTGTATAAATACTGGAAGGACTGGTTTCTCTCTCTCTTTCTCTTTCCCCTCTTGCTGCCTGTCATTGTGTTAACGAGTGGCCGAAGGCCCACACACACTCAGAGTCGCCATCGTTCCTGCATTTTTTTGCACGTGGAATGTCGTCGTATTTTTGCATAGAAAGAAGCTGAATGAAGAAATCCAGTATCTAGTGAAAAATGCTTGGTTTGAGACTCACTAACTTCTGATGCCGTGAATAACATAAAATAAACGCTCAAGGAGAATATCAATATGTGTTTGACTTCAAGATGTGCTTGACCAGTGATGTGTCACCACGTGATAATAAGTGTGTAAAAAAAAAAACGTGAATGTAAAAAAAAAGAAGAGCATACAAATATGTAACCAGACCGCGCGATAATACGAAAATTAATAGGAGACAATTTCAAGCACTGATATATCCGATAGGACAGGATTGCACGAATAGTCATGCTTTGGCACTCCGCGAAACATTCCATGTTTAGTAATCGCATTGTGTGTATCTAAGTTATGATATTTTAATATTTTATATGTGTGTGATAAATGTGCCTTATTTAACCAAGAAAATGTGTTTGATAAAATAAATGTGAGATTGGAAAAAAAAGAGATTCGGCTCATGCATGCTTTATTAGGTAAGTCATATTATTCTATTTAGTAAAGATCATGCAATGTACTAACCACTAAATTTTAGTTTAACGATTTACGTGGAAGTAATTTGTATTTGATATTCTTAGCATCGTTACTTTTAGGCGATCATGCCAACAACACCATATTAATGGTGCACCAACACCCCACTAACCTAAACCAAAACTGGTACTTTTCCGTTTTGCAAGCGATAAAATCATCAATAACTGTACAACTAATGCCAAATGGAATATCCTTGCTGGTAACCTTCTAAGCCTCATTTTCAAAACAAGTCGCAGCCATTTCTTATCGGATTGATTGTTTCTTTCAATACTTGCATACAATTAGATAGAATTTTTACCAGGTAGTTCAGGTAATTAAGTCAATTAGGATGTGATCACATTGCTCACCAGAAGGCAAAAATATAGAAAAGGCAAAGTCATGGGTTAAATTCATCAATTCTAATGAGAATGCACTAGCGAAGTAAAGCACTGTGGTTTTACATAATTTCTGAGTAAGCTATTCGTACGAATTGAAAAAATTCTCGCATTTAAACTTGCATTTCAAATCAAGATTTAACTTGAAATTAATGTAGATAATTACTGAGAGAATTAGATTTTTGTAGCGTAGTTTGCAAGAGATGAGATCACTTGGGATCATGTGATATGAACCGGCGAATCAGGATGTTGAACTATGAAAGCATAGTAAATTCTTAAATTGTCTTTTGACAAATTTATTGTCTTTATTTGTTGACTTTTTATAAAATTTTAAATGATATTAAAATTTTTATGTCTTCAAAAAATAAAAACATCTTAGAACTAACATTTGTTAACATTTTTTATGTGTATACTGTATGTTGGCGCCATTAAAGTTTGTTTGGTGAGATTTGCCATGGTGAAATGGAAAAGTATCCCAAAACCTTCTCTTGATGAACTTCCATGCTGGATAACTGCACACTTTAGCTTCTACCTCTCTTTCTGTAAAGATACTCTTTCATTATGCTGTCTTCCTATCATAACAATATCAAATAAGTAAATGTTCTTGAATAAGCACGGTTAGAATGCCAAGTAAATTGCTGCCACAAATGTCAACTGAAATAAAAATGAAATTTAATTTGCTTTGACTGCCAAGTTTTCCAGTCTAAACTATCAAAATTCTTCCTCTTCAATATGGATCTACGTTCTATACTATCTGCGCCATCAGTATTTCTGCATTTCTACGCCTCAGTCTTCCTACACCGGTACTTCAAAATTTTGTTTTCATTCACACACACACATATATATATATATATAAAGAAATATAAAAAAAGGCTAAAAATTAGAATTATAAAAATCTTTTAAACCCATCCTGTGCTATAACTGCAGGATTGAAGTAGAATAAACTTAAAGCATCTTAATTTATAATTATTAAATTGGAATAAAAACAAGGCGGCCCCCCTATTATATAATAATTGAAACCGTGTATAAGCGGTTTAACACAATATCACAACTAATCTAATTAAAGAAAGAAGTCATAGTAGAACAAACTCGAAAACTGAAACTGTGATTATGGGAATTAATGGATTATGGGAGCTGTGAGTATGGGGTATTATAAGGAAAATATACAATATTATACAAATAAAAATTAATATTCTTTTACTGAAACTCCAGAATTCATCAAGGGAAAATGAATTAAACTTCATAAAAGTTAATTACTATGTTTCGAAAATATGTTTTGTTCTCCAGATAAGACTTTAAAATTCAACATAAAACCGAAAACTCGAATCTCAAATGTACCAGAATTTTCCCTACAAATTTTCGAAACACTTGGGGAAAAAAAAAAAAAATAAATAAATAAAATAAAACATAACATAGTGCCAAAATGACAATTAAAAACCATAGAACTTTATATTATGTACATTGAAATTCAAAAAATAAATTGGTCTAAAAGCAATACATATATGCTAACCCGAAATTCAAAAGCAAGTATAAATAAAGAGCAAAACTAATAGTCATTTAAACAAAACTAAAAAACTGGGAAGTCCTTGATTATGTTAAACTAAACTTTTAATACTAAGAAACTGAAAAACTAAAAATACATATTTCTATAAATAAAGAAAGCCAAATTTGAGCCTTAAACAGCTAAAAACTGAAAACCTATTTGAAAAAACTATTGAAAAATGCAAACTTACTGAAATCAAAATGTGACTTTCTATGCCTAATCTAACTAAATTTTGAAGGTGACCAAACTGTGTTCTTGCTAAAGAAAGTAGAATTCAAACTGCTCTGAAGAAGCCGAAATTTTGCATTTTTTTTTGAAAAAGTATGCAAATAAATTCAAAGTGTCCAATTGCAGAACTAAGTACTTAAAAATGTGTTCAAAATTTCTTACCTTATTGTACTTTATGTGCAGGAGTCCTACCTTGTCAATGGTTGGGTGAGGTCTGTAAAATTATTACTGATATGGAGAAGGTGGTCATCAAACCAAAATGGCGGCATAAGAAACTTCTTTACTTAGCTTACTTAGTTACATTTTTCAACTGATAAATGTCCAAAATTTTATGCTACAATTACATATTTGCATGTGATATTAAGAAATCAGGAAGATGTATTTCATATGTTAACTAATCAGAGAATAAGATAAATCCTTTTTAAATAATACTAGAATATTTTAAACCATCTTTTAGTTTTTAATAACAGTGTAACCAGCAAGAAGAGATGTAAAGTCCTACACTGCATGGCCTACAAGCATAAAATGTTTGTTGTTTTTTTTTTCATCCTTTTTGCTCACATTAAGGTAGGAAAATGTCTACCACTAATTGGATAAGCGTTGATACAGATCTGACAATAAACTGCTTTTCTCAAAAATTTGCTCAATCAGTTTCATATTAAACTTGAGAAGCAGCATTTCAATGCAACATTTTTTCATTGAGAAGCGGTGTTTCGATGCCATGTTTCTTTGTCTAAAATGTGAGTCTAATATTGTTACATCAATCATCCAAACAAAAATTTTTTATACCATTTAACCAATTTACTGTGCATCATAACTAAAACCATAGCCTTTAATAATATCAAATTAGATGCCTATATCAAGAAATACATGCAAAGAAATCATTGACCTTTTTCATCAAAAATATATTTTGTTTTAAAGACATATTACATTTT